GAAATTGGGTGAATACATCTTATAACTGATTTACTGGTAGTCACGAAAAACAATACTTACTTCGAAAAATGAATATAAGTAGAATAGTCGATTTTAACTGCTTACTTGTGTGGCCTCTCAGCAACGCCTCGGATGTATTCGTTGCACTATCCAGGTTCAATTCTCGTTAGGGGTGATGATGAGGTCCTGGAGGAGAATAAAATTATGAAGACATGGCTAAATGAGCTCTAATGATATCCTGAGGTCTATTCATCTCATATTGGGAAAACTCAGACTTCAGTTCTTCGTAACCTTAGGCGATCTGGTGCAACTACAGCTATTATTTAAGAACCCGTAATTTACTCGAAACATATAAATATAATGAGAATTAAACCATCTGTCAAGTACCATCATAGACTTTGCCCTGAGGATGCTGATGTATAAATCACTTTCTGTGAGACCAAATAGCTTGTCACTTTCATCTCTCTTTCTAACTCTCTACCCTTTTAAATTTATATTTTCGTGCCGATATAGTTATGGCGTCCTGTTTTTGCTAGTAGACCAATTGGCTCTATCAAATCACGGTGAAAACCTGGAAGGTTCAGGACAAAGTTTCTGCTACTGGGGCACCTAAGCATCCACTAAACTACCAGACAAGCTTGCATATGACTACCGGTAGAAGGGTCAATACTGACTGGCCGTCAAAACGGGACTCGGACTTGAGTCTTTTATACTCGGGTGCAGAGGTGTTACTCTTCATTCCCCAGAGCTATGGCACGAGTAGATTGCAGAGTACTTACCATTTTTCAAATGAAGCCAGCCTCCCTTCATTCATTCACAGACCTGCTTGGTTCAAGTGATCATGCTTTGGCATCTGTACCTGAAATCCTCCAGTTAACGTTTCTTTGGCAAGCTGATGAACAGGAGGCTAACTAAGGAAACATTTCGTTTGTATCTTGTAGTGAAAGGGCGTTGGGAAAATTAATCTCCTCTTCACTTTAGTATTAACTGCCGAAAGAGTGACCTTCCATGCTCATAAATAAACGAATTTACAGCTATAACCACCGTACACTTTTAGAGAATTTCGTGAATCGAAGAAGTATTTGCAAAATCCAATGTATTAAAAGATTTTGCTTACTGTATGTGAGGAAATGTCAGGCACTTTGGTTATGATATAGGAGAAAAAGGTTTATGTCAAGGCAACACATTGTATATCAATGTCAACTTGACCTTTATTTTATGCTAAAACGTGTGTTGCTTAGGCCGATCTCACCGGAACCTGACGGTATGTTCCCTTTGAGCTGCTCTAGTTTGGTCCGGACATCCAGGCTGAAGCAAACCTTACCACATCCTCCAGTTGCTGCGGTACAAAGGGTTAAGCCCTCTACTTTTATGCCAGTTGGCAGGCTTGATCGGAGCAGAGATGTATACTTATGACCACAAAACGATGACAGAAATATATATTTTCGAATTAAGTATTTGTTTTCGTGACTACCAATAAATCAGTAATATGAGATGTATTCACCTAATTTTGTTTAAGGTAATGAAGGACTGGTAGAAGAAGATTTTCCCATAATGATATGAGTTGAGCTGATGTTTTCATTGAATTTAAAATATATACGAAGAGAATATATATATATATATATATATTTCCTTTCCTAAATATGAGTATATATGCTAAGCAGGCTAGATCGGGATAGTCTTCTTGACTTAATGTTAGCTTGAAGCTTTAGCAAAAATTAATCTCAACTCTGACGAAACCTATCAAGTGTCGTTACGAACGAGAGCTCAATCTGTCTTCCCCACAAATGAGTGAAGATTTATCGTGGACTGCGTCGTATTGAATGCGAATTACGACATAACATCGGGAATCAGCCGTCGTCTTCTGGTGAGTTTGAACTTCGAATCTCTTCATCATGCTCTTTCATACGAAATGAAAGTCTTCATCAAAATTGGGAAAAGTGGCCGACTGTTCTTTTCATGGTATCATAAATCAATTCAACTAAAGACAGAAATGTCTATATTATTATGCGCGTAAATGTGTAAGTATGTAGAAGAAACCAAAGTAAAAGTTCCATCAAATTAGAACAGAGTTGTGACCTCTATCCTAATGTCTTTAAGGTTCAATTACCTTTTATTGATGATTCAGGGACTCTTGTAACTCCGATTACACAATTCCGGACCCATGTGCGTCTGATTTGCTCAGCCTTTTCAGCATAACTGTACAGAGTGTCAAGGTGATTAAAAGAAAAGTCGCCTACTTTCAAAGGTGACCTAACTTCCTCTCTATCCCCAAGTTTATGAATCATACCGAAATATGTCTTGTTTATGCAAAGAAAAGTTGAGTTCCGAAGACTCTCTCGGTTAATAAATATTGAGTTCACTCCCGTTTCCAATAAAAGTGTCTGCTAAAGCGATTCGACGGTCGGTCCAACCAGAAGACGACGACAGCGATGTATATATACATATATATATATATATAGAAATATATATACAGATACAGCTTATTCCATATTATCTGTCACTTTCAAACTCAAGCGGTAACAGACTTCACAAGCATTTTTATGATCCACCAGGCTGTGGCGAATGGTGAGATTGTCATATGAATGTCTTCATCACATACTTTGGTTAGATACAAAATATGGCCAACTCATCACTTACGAGCTCATCAGTTTTATTCACTAAATGAATATAGCTTTTGGTATAGAGTAATTTACAATGGTTTATTTTGTTAAGTTTTACTTAAGTACATTTAATCTTGCTTCTTGAATTGCTAGAACAATCCCAAAATACATGATGGCTAGGAGTATAGCCTCGCGCTGATCTCTTCAAGAAGGCCTCGTGTCCTCAACTTGGCTATGCTTCATGCTGACGAGTTTATAGACATCACATGGTCTTGCGAGACATGAAGAGAAGCTGGATATCGAAGAGTCCCTTAGTTGATTGATGTTGGCGTATCGTTCATTTCATCTGAAAAAACGGGTTGAGGGGATTTGTAAATTAACCGCACCGGATACCGCATTTAACTTGTGACTGTTGGATTATGCAATTTAGACCTCATCTCACCGTCCTACGACCCCGATGAATCCATGCTCAGCCTTCTCCCTTCATGTGACGAACTTCGCAAGTATTTTTTGGGAATCGTTCGTATCCGTCAGGTTTTTGGTTCTGAAGATGTCCGCCCCATGACCCAAGTTCGGGGTCGCAGGACGGTGAGCTGAGGTCTGTTTCGCACAATTGCTCCATCCCGAGGCAAAAGAAATGCTCTTGCGGTATCGAGTGCGGCCAATTTACGAATCCCTGCCATCCACCTCATAAAATGAAATTAAAGTTAGGCCAGCATCATTCATTTTTTCCATTTTTATAATCTCTCTTATCTGTATTCTGCCTTTCCTCCTCTCGCTCCATGACAATCGGGCTTAACTCACATCAACAATATGCCAGATCCACGGATCCTGGCAAAAGTATGGTTGGCCCAATTTCCCATCTTCATCGTCCGCCCCTAAACCCTCATGATATGATAGCTTATCAGACAGACCGATTGCATTTGTAAACTCTGCTGCACAGAGGAAGACGATACAGTCTGGTGTAAATATATTTGTTTATCTCAAGAACTGTCCCCTACACTTTCGGATACATGCACTCGTCTCACCGAAGACCTTGATAAAAGAGTGGCAGCCTCGTTAGTACCGGCAAAATGCAACATGCATCCATGTTTACTGGCCCCGGAAACGCTCAACTTATAGCTTAGCCTCTATCCAGCCTCATTATGCTGTGGCAAGAGTGCATGCTGGAGGACGTGGTTGGCGGTTAGGCTTATTTTGTTTAAAATAGTAGATGAAAACTCGTGTGGGCTGGTGAAATGGCTTATTCACTGGGAAATGTAGATCTGGTTTCATCGGGTCACACCATTAAACAATTTATTGCTACAGCTTTGGAGAGAGGCGGCAGCAGTCAGGGCTGTGGGAGAGACTGGCTGTCTTTCTGTTGGTACAAGTCGACCCGGGGCGCATGTTTGCGCCGTGGCAACCAGACGTCAAGACGTTGCCCTATTTACGGAGTACCAGAATCAACAGAATTCCATGAGGAACCATGGCAGGGAAGGCAAACTGCCAACGACCCTCAAGGCAGATGTTCATCAAAGCTTGAAGTTTGGTAGCTTGATGATAGGGAAATCCAGAGGAGCCAGGATGGCCTGGTGGAGAAAAGGTGAATTGCGAAAATTGCAGGTCTTATTAAGGCGACGCCATGGATATTAGGGGTCAGGCTGGCATAGCACTTTGATTTTGGCAACCCTGAGTATATAGTTCGAGGCTGCTCTTCTGCTGACACACAAGAAACAAGTTTATTCAGCCACCATTCGAGCATTATTTGGGATAACATTTCAAATAATCTGCTAAACAAACCATAGAAAATTCTTGAAAAAATTGCGGAATTTAGTATATATGAAGAAGCTCTGATTATATTGCTGTTGGTTTACCTTAAGTTTCGTTTAGCGAGACGAGTGACCATACATTTTTGTGAATTCGTCTTCAGCGAATCTTCCCACGAGCTTATTTGTGCACTCCAATGCAGCTCTCCTTGGGCCTCGTGCGAAGCCAATCTACTCATCTCGTCATATGAAATGAAGGATAGACCAACATCAATCTATCAAGAGATTCCTCAAAACCCAGCTTCTATAATCTCATATATTAATAGATAAAAATGTATTATGATATGACTTTTACTTTTCAAGGAGACGTTGGGTGGATGGAATTCACGAAATGAAAACCAAAGCATGATTTATAGAAGTGGGTTGACCTCGTTGTCGCAACTTGGTCTTGTTCATTGTTGCGGAGTGAGGACTTTCGGAGTGTGCGGAAAAGTTCTTGGCTCACCGTTCTGCTGAGCCGTTGTCTGCCATGTGGCCTCGAGCCATCGCACTCACTTCGTGATTTGGCTGGCTATTTCACGTCCAGCCAAGATTCTTGTAAATGGGAAGGTTGTTGTATGTAAGGGAAGTGGATACAGAGGAAGCTGTTTCATTGCCTACATAACCAAATGTGTGATATAGCAACTTTTTACGTATTGTGTGTATGCAGTCTTCACTCACCCAATGCTCTCGTGGACTCTTTTGAGTTCCGGTGAAACCAATTCACAAATTCCTTCTAACTATCTTTTTCGTCAAAATGAAAAGTCATATCACAATAAGTCTACAGCTTCATATCCACACCATTTTGGTTTTATGCTTTAGCACAGAGTTGGCTCTGTAGGGCTTTGGGCCAAGAACTGACAGACCTATAGGCCGACATATATCCAAGGTCGAGGGTTTACGGGATAGACTTGACTGAGATATCGTTTTTCAACTCACATGGATACAGCTATCGAGAAGAGAAGTTGTTTTTATTTTGGTTTTGTGAGTGTCTTTAATTCAACTGGACCCAATGCTGAGGCCACTCACCGATACAGCTGTTTTAGCAATGAAAATATGAGATAAAATTGATATAAATTATAACATTAAGTCTCCTTGATTGGCGTTAATTCTTCATCTAAGACGGGATTTGCAGTCTATAACAGAACAGATACCGGAATGATGCTTGACAAACCTGTATTTTGACGAATTAGTCGTCGAGGCAGTGACATGTGGCCCTTCTTGCGGTTACGATGGAATCTCGGATTTCTAACTTTAGTAGCTTTCCGTCAATTCTATCAATCAGGGGGTTAGATGCATCCCGCATCAGGTGGTCGCAGGGGCTCGATTACACTCATTTGCCGATACCCTCCAAAACCTTCAAACGGACATTTTCTGCATCTCTAAAGGACCTTATGTTATTAAGTCTAGGGACAAATGAGCCAATGGCCAAGCTGTTTCCACCTCAAGCGGAATTGTATAAGTAAGTGAAAAAATGCGTTCTTTCATCCGAAAGATTATCACTTTTTTCGCTGTATCTAGTATTCAAGATTGATAGTGATCCTTGAATGAAAGCTTAAACACTCTAAGCCGCCTACTGTGAATTAAGAAGTGATATAGAGGTTTTATCCCAGTGCCTGAACCATTGCGCTAAACAGCATCGGGCCAGATAAAAAACTCTTAAATGACATTTTTACATAAGTTTGCTCGACGAGACAGATACAGTCGACAATGCTACTTTCTCTTCCGTAAGGTAGGCTTCTCAACTACCGGTAATGCTTGCATAAGAAATAAGGAGCTTATGATAACTGATGGACTATTAGGAGAGTTTCTCCCATAGCAATATGAGAAGGCCTCACTGGGCCATTGAATTTCCTGTCCTTGTCCGTAATAACATTTTAGT